GGGGCACGACCTGCAGGGCAGCAAGTGAGACTGGTAGGCGTTGAAGAAAGCGTTGCGGGCAGCAGAAACGTCCCTTGTGTCGGATACGGGGGTAATGGTACCGTCGACACCGGCGGGTATGGTAGCAGCCACGGGGCCGGTCCACTTGGGTTGGTGGTAGTGACCAGGATTGTATTTTCCATGGTTGTATTGATGAGGGTTGTAGTGACCGGTGTTATGGGCCTGTTGGTGAGCGTTGTAATGTGGCTTAGCAGAGGCCTCAGCAGCTCGGAAAGCTTGGAAGAAACGAGCTTTCTCTGCCGCCACTTCTGGGGTGTCTCCTATGGAGGGGACAGCCGAGCACACGCCCAACACTGCCAAAATAACCTGTGTGAAGAAAAGGACAGAGTTAAATAATTTTACTCGCAAATACCAACAAATCTTTATTTTCTATTTTAGACCCCACAAGGAAGGTATCTTGACGCAGTAAGGGGATCTGAATTTAAGAAATTGGGCCATTACTCCTCTTGGATCGAACCTGAATGAATCCCGTTCTCAGTGCATCCTATGACCACTACGGGTCTAGCGCTCCTCCAGAATGTAATAACACTCCCATTTAAGAAATAAACCTTAAATTTAAACGTTTTGAAATCATAATTACATTTTTCCACATTGATAAAAAAAAAAGTATAACATGAAAGTGACTCACACATCCAGGCCTTCAACCAGACTCAAATTTTAATGTGGCAAATACTGCATCCAGTAGATCACCACATTACAAAAGCATTGAACACTACATATAAAATGTAATTTAATATATTACTCAAAATCATTCGGACTCGGATACATGGATTTATAACGTGCAAAGTTTTTTAAAGCGTTTCACTCATGATTTACAAAGAATCTAAACATAAAGATGGATTTCTCTAAATGTTTATGTATAAAATCTGTGGATGTATCTGGGGGAGTGCATGAGTAAACAGTATTGTATTTTAAAGCATTCTATGATTGTCAGCAAGCGGAATTTACAGTTAAGTAACTCCCTGTGTATCCAGGTCCAACATAGATGTGTCACCATCAACACGAAGTGTTCACTTCCTTATCCCACTGGATGGATAGTTACCAGAGTCCTCATGATGTTGTTGTGTGAGAGTAGGGAACCGTACTGTATTGTATCTTGGTCTTCGTCCGCCCTTTATACTTGAGCGTAGCCCAAGGTCTCTGGTATGTGTGCGCGCCTGTGTGTGTGTGTGTGCATGAGCATATGTGAACATGTATGTGTGCATGTATGACCTATCGAGAGCCAAGCTGAAGAGGTTACTTACAGCTACTTGTTCATCCGAGTTGTGGTTTTTTTGACTGTGTCTCTAATAGTAAATAATGATACATACAAAGCAAAAAAATCCTCGTATAATCCCGTCTCTGTCAACTTCATTCAATTCCCAGTTACTTGAGGTGACTCAGAGAAAGTTTATTTTATTTCTGTTAAACTTTTTCAACTACGAAACTCACGTATTGTGACTATTAGTAAACTGTCTCACATTAAGTAATCTTTTGTGAGGACAGGTAGATTGACCCACATCTACTCTTCCTGCGAGGACAAGATAGCTGGCTCACATTTCTTCATGTAAGGAGAAGTAAGGTGGCTTACATCTACTCTTTCTTTTAAGGTAGGTAACGTCTTTTTAGGTTGTAGTTCCGAGATTGTTCAGCTCTTACCGCTCATCAATACGTCTCTACCAGTACATTGGCCACTGATGCAAGAAACTAATACCAATCATCAATACCTTCTCTACTTGCTTCCTTTCTTTCATTGAATTCTTTGTATGATGCGAATATGATAGGGGAGCGGGGAGTTGAAACCCATCCTAAATGATGGAATATCAATCCTGTGTGATGGAGTTTGAGAGGGGAAACCGATTTAGTGCAATGGTGTATGAGAGGGATATCCTTCCTGTGTAAGGGAAATTATAACGCGGAAATTCCCAAATTTTTGTGAAGTAAAATTTGACGGGTTGAACACGCTAGCGATTATCTCTCACTACGTAACTATCGTGAAGAGTAAAGGATCACACACATTTAACGAACTCATTTTGACGAATAAGAAAACATTCCAGTGTATTATCCCAACTGCAATGTTGACACTGTTACACTAATTAGCTTACCCCTGGTAAACCATAAATAATCATAGCCTACTGGTTTAAAATTCTAAATCTCGGAACTACGCCATTTGTTTCCCTAGGTTAGTTTCCTCTGTTTGTATGACCGTTCCACTGTTTTAAATAGTCTGGTGGTGATAACATTTATTATACAAGTTAACAAGTGTATCTGAGGCAAGTTCGAATTGAATGTTTGGCTTATTTATTGCGCAACATCTCCATCGTTTTAACGGTAGGTGCGAAGACTTAAGAACTTTATCGTAAAGTACTTGAGAAAGAGTATCTTGTAATGCAATCATAGTATTGTCATTGGTAAAAATCTGAAGCATTATCTGCCCTTGGATAAAATTATCAACAACAGCGATCAATGAATAATGAGAGATTACTTCGACAGACAATTATAATACAGGTAAAAAAAAAAAAGATTTTACTATATTTTGGCTTCAATGTGTCAATTCCCTTAACGGATGATGCGTTAACAATTTGTAAAATGAACGAATGCACTCGATATTTAAACTAAAAATAGTCTGGCATTGTCTCCATTGAGTGTACCTACACGCTCAGATATAAAACACGAGAACTGATTGCCGGGTCACCATCTGGAGAAAACCCGGGCCTGCAGTACCGGCGATTCTACAACGAAAATAAAATAATCGTCACTGTCTCCTTCACTCCACAGTGTCTCTATGATCTTCATCGTTTTGTTGATGCACCAATTTTCAGAAGACAGTGTTTCCTCTTCATCGCCGAGAAACTGAGTACTGATGGCATATTAACGGTATGTTGCAGAAATGAGAGAGAACAGAGACACAAGCTGTAGAACAAATCTTTACCTAGAATGAAATGTTGGCTTCATATACTCGTAAGCTTCTTTTGCAACTTTTCATGGACTTTACACCTTGCCCATGGCTAAGGTCATGATAGGTATAAATATACCGATGACCGGTTTTAGGTAATGAACACACGTATCTAACATTCTGAATATTTTATTCTGGTTACCTTTTCCTCGCCCGCAGCTTCATCAAGCCAGGAGTCTACAGCAAACATACAGAACACTTCGCATGTGTCCATTAATGGTAAACCCATGGGTAGTAACACGCTGTAGAGTCCTCGGGTAACGTACAGTTTGCTTTGAGGTTCCTCCTCCTCCTCCTCCCGATGACTGCACAAGTTGAGATGTGGACTAAATCTAGTTCTCTTGGGTCATCGTTGTCTGTTGTCACTCATTGACAGTTTTAGTGACTGGAAAAATACAATTCAATTGCTCCGCAACCACTGTGCTGCATAGTTCAGTGGACCCCCTTTTCTTCACTATATTCTTGTTCATCACCGACATCCCGAGCAAAACACGATTTTCTACCCCATTTATTTTGGCAAGATTATATAACGTTCATCAGGAAACAGATCAAAGGCCTCCTGATGTGGGTCTTAAGTCATATAACCCGTCACTGGAGCTTTTAGTCATTGAGGCCTTTCCCTGGCTTACTGTCCACTTCTTCACAAATTAAAGAAAAATAATTTGATATTAGTATTTTCGTTAAGTATCGTATTGCGGTGACGATCGATCACCGCTCCGTCATATCTCTTATCACCACTGGAGTGTTTACAACTGTTTGTCGCTTTCCTTGTTTTGAAAATGTGTCGGAGACACTGGTTGTAAGGTATTAAAGCTTCACGACAGAAACGTCTGAGCGAGAAAGGGATCTTGCAAAACAATGAAATGTACTCAATATGCAGTAATACCACTGTCAATCTCACATGCGAATTTAATTCCTATTTTGGGACTCAAACTATTCGTAATGTTAGTGTGCAGGGAAAGTTAGGCTGTAAACCTATCTTTATATTACATTCGCCGGGGAAAGCACTAAGCCTGTAAGAGTTATTCAGAACCTAGGGGAATGGAACCAATTCAGTCCAAGAAAAGAGAGGTTAGCTTCATTTCCATTCATTAAAAGTCACTCATTGGCATCAAGAGAGAGTGGAGACCTAAAATCTAACAAGGAAACTCTGAAGGGACACTGAAAGTCAGGGCAACATTATTAGTTAGTGGATAAACAGACGAATTACTCGTACACTGTCAGTATCTTCAACTGAAGTATAAGCAGAAGATGGAGAAACCCAGGACTGATTTTCAGTGAATAAAGACAAAATAACAGAAAGATGATCATAAAGTTGGATATAGCGAAGTTGACAAGAATCTATGAAGAATTCAAATCACAGTAATGCAGCTACCACAATTCACAAAATACCCACAATTATAAAGTTTAAAGGATTTTCGGTTTGTGACTTGACAAGTCGAACGTCATCCTTATTTTGTCATCGTAAGAATGAATATTATGTGAAAAAAAAATATGCATTTCAAGTGGATGAAATATACATTTATTACAGCCAGGTGTACTGTGTATCGTGTTCTATAGGTAGGAAATACATATGTCTTGTACAAAACAGTATTTAAATCGCCACTCAAACTTTCGATTTAGCTTATAAAGAAAATTTATGGTAAAAATTTATAATTTGTATATTTGTTTTAAACGTTTTATTACATAAATGTACATATGGTTCATAATTTTTCTGACTTAATTGTAATTTAGCTTAATTATGACAGTAGGGTTCAGTAGTACCGTGTTGGGGGAGCCGCTGCTGCTGCCTGCCTCTGGTAAGTGCTGAAGAAAGAATGTTTAGCTGCGGCCACCTCGGGGGTGTCAACAACTGGGTGGGAGCCAGGGAGGCCGGCGGGGACAGTGGCAGCTACGGGGCCGGTCCACTTAGGTTGATGGTGGTAGGAAGGAGTGTATGAGGGAGCACCCTGGTAGTGAGGGCTGGGGGCACGACCTGCAGTGGCAGCAAGCTGAGACTGGTAGGCGTTGAAGAAAGCGTTGCGGGCAGCAGAAACGTCCCTTGTGTCGGATACAGGGGTAATGGTACCGTCGACGCCGGCGGGTATGGTAGCAGCCACGGGGCCGGTCCACTTGGGTTGGTGGTAGTGACCAGGATTGTATTTTCCATGGTTGTATTGATGAGGGTTGTAGTGACCGGTGTTATGGGCCTGTTGGTGAGCGTTGTAATGTGGCTTAGCGGAGGCCTCAGCAGCTCGGAAAGCTTGGAAGAAACGAGCTTTCTCTGCCGCCACTTCTGGGGTGTCTCCTATGGAGGGAACAGCCGAGCACACTCCCAACACTGCCAAAATAACCTGTGTGAAGAAAAAGACAGAGTTAAATAATTTTACTCGCAAATACCAACAAATCTTTATTTTCTATTTTAGATCCCACAAGGATCTAGTAAGGGGATCTGAATCTAAGAAATTGGGCCATTACTCCTCTTGGATCGAACCTGAATGAATCCCGTTCTCAGTGCATCCTATGACCACTACGGGTCTAGCGCTCCTCCAGAAGTAATAAACACATCCCATTTAAGAAATAAACCTTAAATTTAAACGTTTTGAAATCATAATTACATTTTTCCACATTGATAAAAGAAAAAGTATAACATGTTTTAATCTTGAAAGTGACTCACACATCCAGGCCTTCAACAAGACTCAAATTTTAATGTGGCAAATACTGCATCCAGTAGATCACCACATTACAAAAGCATTGAACACTACATATAAAATGTAATTTAATATATTACTCAAAATCATTCAGACTCGGATACATGGATTTATAACGTGCAAAGTTTTTTAAAGCGTTTCACTCATGATTTACAAAGAATCTAAACATAAAGATGGATTTCTCTAAATGTTTATGTATCAAATCTGTGTATGTATCTGGGGGAGTGTATGAGTAAATAGTATTGTATTTTAAAGCATTCTATGTTTGTCAGCAAGCGGAATTTACAGTTAAGTAACTCCCTGTGTATCCAGGTCCAACATAGATGTGTCACCATCAACACGAAGTGTTCACTTCCTTATCCCACTGGATGGATAGTTACCAGAGTCCTCATGATGTTGTTGTGTGAGAGTAGGGAACCGTACTGTATTCTCTCTTGGTCTTCGTCCGCCCTTTATACTTGAGCGTAGCCCAAGGTCTCTGGTATGTGTGCGCGCCTGTATGTGTGTGTGTGCATGAGCATATGTGAACATGTATGTGTGCATGTATGACCTATCGAGAGCCAAGCTGAAGAGGTTACAGCTACTTGTTCATCCGAGTTGTGGTTTTTTTTTACTGTGTCTCTAATAGTAAATAACGATACATGCAAAGCAAAAAGATCCTCGTATAATCCCGTCTCTGTCAACTTCATTCAATTCCCAGTTACTTGAGGTGACTCAGAGAAAGTTTATTTTATTTCTGTTAAACTTTTTCAACTACGAAACTCACGTATTGTGACTATTAGTAAACTGTCTCACATTAAGTAATCTTTTGTGAGGACAGGTAGATTGACCCACATCTACTCTTCCTGCGAGGACAATATAGCTGGCTCACATTTCTTCGTGTAAGGAGAAGTAAGGTGGCTTACATCTACTCTTTCTTTTAAGGTAGGTAACGTCTTTTTAGGTTGTAGTTCCGAGACTGTTCAGCTCTTACCGCTCATCAATACGTCTCTACCAGTACACTGGCCACTGATGCAAGAAACTAATACCAATCATCAATACCTTCTCTACTTGCTTCCTTTCTTTCAATGAATTCCTTGTATGATGCGAATATGATAGGGGAGCGGGGAGTTGAAACCCATCCTAAATGATGGAATGTCACAGGAAAATCTATCCTGTGTGATGGAGTTTGAGAGGGGAAACCGATTTAGTGCAATGGTGTATGAGAGGGATATCCTTCCTATGTAATGGAATATAACAGCGGAATTCCAATTTTTGTGAAGTCAAATGACAGGTGAACACGCTAGCAGCATTATCTCTCACTACGTAACTATCGTGAAGAGTAAAGGATCACACACATTTAACGAACTCATTTTGACGAATAAGAAAACATTCCAGTGTATTATCCCAACTGCAATGTTGATACTGTTACACTAATTAGCTAACCCACTGGTAAGACCATAACATAATCATAGCCTACTGGTTAAAATTCTAAATCTCGTAGACTACGTCATTTGATTCACTAGGTTAGTTTCCTCTGTTTGTATGACCGTTCCACTGTTTTAAATAGTCTGGTGGTGATAACATTTATTATACAAGTTAACAAGTGTATCTGAGGCAAGTTCGAATTGAATGTTTGGCTTATTTATTGCGCAACATCTCCATCGTTTTAACGGTAGGTGCGAAGACTTAAGAACTTGATCGTAAAGTACTTGAGAAAGAGTATCTTGTAATGCAATCATAGTATTGTCATTGGTAAAAATCTGAAGCATTATCTGCCCTTGGATAAAATTATCAACAACAGCGATCAATGAATAATGAGAGATTACTTCGACAGACAATTATAATACAGGTAAAAAAAAAAAAAGATTTTACTATATTTTGGCTTCAATGTGTCAATTCCCTTAACGGATGATGCGTTAACAATTTGTAAAATGAACGAATGCACTCGATATTTAAACTAAAAAATAGTCTGGCATTGTCTCCATGGAGTGTACCTACTCGCTCAGATATAAAACACGAGAACTGATTGCCGGGTCACCATCTGGAGAAAACCCGGGCCGGCAGTACCGGCGATTCTACAACGAAAATAAAATAATCGTCACTGTCTCCTTCACTCCACAGTGTCTCTATGATCTTCATCGTCTTGTTGATGCACCATTTTCAGAAGACAGTGTTTCCTCTTCATCGCCGAGAAACTGAGTACTGATGACATATTAACGGTATGTTGTAGAAATGAGAGAGAAAGAGACACAAGCTGTAGAACAAATCTTTACCCAGAATGAAATGTTGGCTTCATATACTCATAAGCTTCTTTTGCAACTTTTCTTGGACTTTATATCTGTCCCATGGCTAAGGTCATGATAGGTATAAATATACCGATGACCGGTTTTAGGTAATGAACACACGTATCTAACATTCTGAATATTTTATTCTGGTTACCTTTTCCTCTCCCGCAGCTTCATCAAGCCAGGAGTCTACAGCAAACATGCAGAACACTTCGCATGTGTCCATTAATGGTAAACCCATGGGTAGTAACACGCTGTAGAGTCCTCAGGTAACGTACAGTTTGCTTTGAGGTTCCTCCTCCTCCTCCCGATGACTGCACAAGTTGAGATGTGGACTAAATCTAGTTCTCTTGGGTCATCGTTGTCTCTTGTCACTCATCGACAGTTTTAGTGACTGGAAAAATACAATTCAATTGCTCCGCAACCACTGTGCTGCATAGTTCAGTGGACCCCCTTTTCTTCACTATATTCTTGTTCATCACCGACATCCCGAGCAAAACACGATTTTCTACCCCATTTATTTTGGCAAGATTATATAACGTTCATCAGGAAACAGATCAAAGGCCTCCTGATGTGGGTCTTAAGTCATATAACCCGTCACTGGAGCTTTTAGTCATGTGAGGCCTTTTCCTTGCTTACCTGTCCACTTCTTCACAAATTAAAGGAAAGATCATCTGATGTTAGCATCTTCGTTAAGTATCGTATCGCAGTGTCGATCGATCACTGCTCCGTCCTATCTCTTATCACACTGGAGTGTTTGCAACTGTTTGTCGCTTTCCTTGTTTTAAAAATGTGTCGGAGACACTGGTTGTAAGGTATTAAAGCTTCACGACAGAAACGTCTGAGCGAGAAAGGGATCTTGCAAAACAATGAAATGTGATCAATATGCAGTAATACCACTGTCAATCTCACATGCGAATTAAATTTCTATTTTGGGACTCAAACTATTCGTGAGGTAGTGTGCAGGGGAAGTGAGGCTGTAAACCAATCATTATATTACATTCGCCGGGGGAAGCACTAAACCCGTAGGAGTCATTCAGAACCTAGGGGAATAGAACCAGTCAGATTCAGTCCAAGAAAGGAGAGGTTATCTTGATTTCCATTCATTAACAGTCATTCATCGGTATGAAGGGACACTGAAAGTCAGGGCAACATTATTAGTTATTGGATAAACAGACGAATTACTCGTACACTGTCAGTATCTTCAACTGAAGTATAAGCAGAAGATGGAGAAACCCAGGACTGATTTTCAGTGAATAAAGACAAAATAACAGAAAGATGATCATAAAGTTGGATATAGCGAAATTGACAAGAATCTATGAAGAATTCAAATCACAGTAATGCAGCTACCACAATTCACAAAATACCCACAATTATAAAGTTTTAAGGACTTTTCGGTTTGTGACTTGACAAGTCGAACGTCATCCTTATTTTCTCATTGTAAGAATGAATATTATGTGAAAAAAAAAATATGCATTTCAAGTGGATGAAATATACATTTATTACAGCCAGGTGAATTTTCAAGACGTACTGTGTATCGTGTTCTATAGGTAGGAAATACACACGTCTTGTACAAAACAGTATTTAAATCGCCACTCAAACTTTCGATTTAGCTTATAAAGAAAATTTATGGTAAAAATTTATAATTTGTATATTTGTTTTAAACTTTTTATTACATAAATGTACATATGGTTCATAATTTTTCTGACTTAATTGTAATTTAGCTTAATTATGACAGTAGGGTTCAGTAGTACCGTGTTGGGGGAGCCGCTGCTGCTGCCTGCCTCTGGTAAGTGCTGAAGAAAGAATGTTTAGCTGCGGCCACCTCCGGGGTGTCAACAACTGGGTGGGAGCCAGGGAGGCCGGCGGGGACAGTGGCAGCTACGGGGCCGGTCCACTTAGGTTGATGGTGGTAGGAAGGAGTGTATGAGGGAGCACCCTGGTAGTGAGGGCTGGGGGCACGACCTGCAGTGGCAGCAAGCTGAGACTGGTAGGCGTTGAAGAAAGCGTTGCGGGCAGCAGAAACGTCCCTTGTGTCGGATACGGGGGTAATGGTACCGTCGACGCCGGCGGGTATGGTAGCAGCCACGGGGCCGGTCCACTTGGGTTGGTGGTAGTGACCAGGATTGTATTTTCCATGGTTGTATTGATGAGGGTTGTAGTGACCGGTGTTATGGGCCTGTTGGTGAGCGTTGTAATGTGGCTTAGCGGAGGCCTCAGCAGCTCGGAAAGCTTGGAAGAAACGAGCTTTCTCTGCCGCCACTTCTGGGGTGTCTCCTATGGAGGGAACAGCCGAGCACACTCCCAACACTGCCAAAATAACCTGTGTGAAGAAAAAGACAGCGTTAAATAATTTTACTCGCAAATACCAACAAATCTTTATTTTCTATTTTAGATCCCACAAGGATCTAGTAAGGGGATCTGAATCTAAGAAATTGGGCCATTACTCCTCTTGGATCGAACCTGAATGAATCCCGTTCTCAGTGCATCCTATGACCACTACGGGTCTAGCGCTCCTCCAGAATGTAATAACACTCCCATTTAAGAAATAAACCTTAAATTTAAACGTTTTGAAATCATAATTACATTTTTCCACATTGATAAAAGAAAAAGTATAACATGTTTTAATCTTGAAAGTGACTCACACATCCAGGCCTTCAACAAGACTCAAATTTTAATGTGGCAAATACTGCATCCAGTAGATCACCACATTACAAAAGCATTGTACACTACATATAAAATGTAATTTAATATATTACTCAAAATCATTCGGACTCGGATACATGGATTTATAACGTGCAAAGTTTTTTAAAGCGTTTCACTCATGATTTACAAAGAATCTAAACATAAAGATGGATTTCTCTAAATGTTTATGTATCAAATCTGTGTATGTATCTGGGGGAGTGATGAGTAAAATAGTATTGTATTTTAAAGCATTCTATGTTTGTCAGCAAGCGGAATTTACAGTTAAGTAACTCCCTGTGTATCCAGGTCCAACATAGATGTGTCACCATCAACACGAAGTGTTCACTTCCTTATCCCACTGGATGGATAGTTACCAGAGTCCTCATGATGTTGTTGTGTGAGAGTAGGGAACCGTACTGTATTCTCTCTTGGTCTTCGTCCGCCCTTTATACTTGAGCGTAGCCCAAGGTCTCTGGTATGTGTGGCGCCTGTATGTGTGTGTGTGCATGAGCATATGTGAACATGTATGTGTGCATGTATGACCTATCGAGAGCCAAGCTGAAGAGGTTACAGCTACTTGTTCATCCGAGTTGTGGTTTTTTTTTACTGTGTCTCTAATAGTAAATAACGATACATGCAAAGCAAAAAGATCCTCGTATAATCCCGTCTCTGTCAACTTCATTCAATTCCCAGTTACTGAGGTGACTCAGAGAAAGTTTATTTTATTCTCGTTAAACTTTTTCAACTACGAAACTCACGTATTGTGACTATTAGTAAACTGTCTCACATTAAGTAATCTTTTGTGAGGACAGGTAGATTGACCCACATCTACTCTTCACTGCGAGGACAAATAGCTGGCTCACATTTCTTCGTGTAAGGAGAGTAAGGTGTCTTACATCTACTCTTTCTTTTAAGGTAGGTAACGTCTTTTTAGGTTGTAGTTCCGAGACTGTTCAGCTCTTACCGCTCATCAATACGTCTCTACCAGTACATTGGCCACTGATGCAAGAAACTAATACCAATCATCAATACCTTCTCTTCTTGCTCCTTTCATTTCAATGAATTCCTTGTATGATGCGAATATGATAGGGGAGCGGGGAGTTGAAACCCATCCTAAATGATGGAATATCACAGGAAAATCTATCCTGTGTGATGGAGTATGAGAGGGGAAACCGATTTAGTGCAATGGTGTATGAGAGGGATATCCTTCCTGTGTAATGGAATATAACAGCGGAATTCCAATTTTTGTGAAGTCAAATGACAGGTGAACACGCTAGCAGCATTATCTCTCACTACGTAACTATCGTGAAGAGTAAAGGATCACACACATTTAACGAACTCATTTTGACGAATAAGAAAACATTCCAGTGTATTATCCCAACTGCAATGTTGACACTGTTACACTAATTAGCTAACCCACTGGTAAGACCATAACATAATCAAGCCTATGGTTAAAATTCTAAATCTCGTAAGACTACGTCATTTGATTCACTAGGTTAGTTCCTCTGTTTGTATGACCGTTCCACTGTTTTAAATAGTCTGGTGGTGATAACATTTTATTATACAAGTTAACAAGTGTATTCTGAGGCAAGTTCGAATTGAATGTTTGGCTTATTTATTGCGCAACATCTCCATCGTTTTAACGGTAGGTGCGAAGACTTAAGAACTTGATCGTAAAGTATTTGAGAAAGAGTATCTTGTAATGCAATCATAGTATTGTCATTGGTAAAAATCTGAAGCATTATCTTCCCCTTGGATAAAATTATCAACAACAGCGATCAATGAATAATGAGAGATTACTTCGACAGACAATGATAATAGAGGTAAAAAAAAACAAAAAGATTTTACTATATTTTGGCTTCAATGTGTCAATTTCCTTAACGGATGATGCGTTAACAATTTGTAAAATGAACGAATGCACTCGATATTTAAACTAAAAAATAGTCTGGCATTGTCTCCATGGAGTGTACCTCTCGCTCAGATATAATACACGAGAACTGATTGCCGGGTCACCATCTGGTCGAAAACCCGGGCCTGCAAGTACCGGCGATTCTACAACGAAAATATAAAATAATCGTCACTGTCTCCTTCACTCCACAGTGTCTCTATGATCTTCATCGTCTTGTTGATGCACCAGTTTTCAGAAGACAGTGTTTCCTCTTCATCGCGAGAAGAAACTGAGTACTGATGACATGTTAACGGTTATAGTTGTTAGAAATGAGAGAGAAGAGACACAAGCTGTAGAACAAATCTTACCAGAATGAAATGTTGGCTTCATTACTCATAAGCTTCTTTTGCAACTTTTCTTGGACTTTATATCTGTCCCATGGCTAAGTCATAGATAGGTATAAATATACCGATGATCCGGTTTTAGTAATGAATACACGTATCAAACATTCTGGATATTTTATTCTGGTTAACTTTTCATCGCCCGCAGCTTCATCAAGCCAGGAGTCTACAGCAAACATGCAGAACACTTCGCATGTGTCCATTAATGGTAAACCCATGGGTAGTAACACGCTGTAGAGTCCTCGGGTAACGTACAGTTTGCTTTGAGGTTCCTCCTTTCCCCCTCCCCCCGATGACTGCCCCAAGTTGAGATGTGGACTAAATCTAGTTCTCTTGGGTCATCGTTGTCTCTTCTCACTCATTGACAGTTTTAGTGACTGGGAAAATACATTTCAATTGCTCCGCAACCACTCTGCTGCATAGTATAGTGGACCCCTTTTCTTCACTATATCCTTGTTCATCACCGACATCCCGGGCAAAACACGATTTTCTACCCCATTTATTTTGGCAAGATTATGTAACGTTCATCAGAAAACAGATCAAAGGCCTCCTGATGTGGGTCTTAAGTCATATAACCCGTCACTGGAGCTTTTAGTCATGTGAGGCCTTTTCCTTGCTAACCTGTCCACTTCTTCACAAATTAAAGGAAAGATCATCTGATGTTAGCATCTTCGTTAAGTATCGTATCGCAGTGTCGATCGATCACTGCTCCGTCCTATCTCTTATCACACTGGAGTGTTTACAAATGTTTGTCGCTTTCCTTGTTTTAAAATGTGTCGGGACACTGGTTGTAAGGGATTAAAGCTTCAAAGACGGGAAAAGTCTGAGCGAGAAAGTGATCTTGCAAAACAATGAAATGATCAATATGCAGTAATACCACTGTCAATCTCACATGCGAATTAAATTTCTATTTTGGGACTCAAACTATTCGTGAGGTAGTGTGCAGGGGAAGTGAGGCTGTAAACCAATCATTATATTACATTCGCCGGGGGAAGCACTAAACCCGTAGGAGTCATTCAGAACCTAGGGGAATAGAACCAGTCAGATTCAGTCCAAGAAAGGAGAGGTTATCTTGATTTCCATTCATTAACAGTCATTCATCGGTATGAAGGGACACTGAAAGTCAGGGCAACATTATTAGTTATTGGATAAACAGACGAATTACTCGTACACTGTCAGTATCTTCAACTGAAGTATAAGCAGAAGATGGAGAAACCCAGGACTGATTTTCAGTGAATAAAGACAAAATAACAGAAGGATGATCATAAAGTTGGATATAGTGAGGTTGATAAGAATCTATGAAGAATTCAAATCACAGTAATGCAGCTACCACAATTCACAAAATACCCACAGTTATAAAAAGTTTTAAGGACTTTTCAGTTTGTGACTTGACAAGCCGAACGTTATCTTTATTTTCTCATCGTCAGAATGAATGTTTTGTGAAAAAAAAAATATGCATTTCAAGTGGATGAATTATACATTTATTACAGCCAGGTGAATTTTCAAGATGTACTGTGTATCGTGTTGTATAGGTAGGAAATACACACGTCTTGTACAAAACAGTAATTAAATCGCCACTCAAACTTTTGATTTAGCTTATAAAGAAAATTTATGGTAGAAATTTATAATCTGTATATTTGTTTTAAACTTTTTATTACAGAAATGTACATATGGTTCATAATTTTTCTGACTTTATTGTAAATTAGCTTAATTATGACAGTAGGGTTCAGTAGTACCGTGTTGGGGGAGCCGCTGCTGCTGCCTGCCTCTGGTAGGTGCTGAAGAAAGAATGTTTAGCTGCGGCCACCTCGGGGGTGTCAACAACTGGGTGGGAGCCAGGGAGGCCGGCGGGGACGGTGGCAGCTACGGGGCCGGTCCACTTAGGTTGATGGTGGTAGGAAGGATTGTAAGAGGGAACACTCTGGTAGTGAGGGCTGGGGGCACGACCTGCAGTGGCAGCAAGTTGTGACTGGTAGGCGTTGAAGAAAGCGTTGCGGGCAGCAGAAACGTCCCTTGTGTCGGACACAGGGGTAATGGTACCGTCGACGCCGGCGGGTATGGTAGCAGCCACGGGGCCGGTCCACTTGGGTTGGTGGTAGTGGCCAGGATTGTATTTTCCATGGTTGTATTGATGAGGGTTGTAGTGACCGGTGTTATAGGCCTGTTGGTGAGCGCTGTAATGTGGCTTAGCGGAGGCCTCAGCAGCTCGGAAAGCTTGGAAGAAACGAGCTTTCTCTGCCGCCACTTCTGGGGTGTCTCCTATGGAGGGGACAGCCGAGCACACTCCCAACACTGCCAAAATAACCTGTGTGAAGAAAAAGACAGTTAAATAATTCTACTCGAAAATACCAACAAATCTTTATTTCCTATTTTAGACCCCAAAAGGAAGGTATCTTGATGCAGTAAGGGGATCTGAATCTAAGAAATTGGGCCGAACCTGAATGAATCCCATTCTCAGTGTATCCTATGACCACTACGGGTCTAGCGCTCCTCCCGAATGTAATAACACTCCCATTTAAGAAGTAAACCTTAAATTTAAACTTTTTTCCACATTGATAAAAGAAAAGTATAGCATGTTTTAATCTTGAAAGTGCACACATCCAGACCTTCAACAAGACTCAAATTTTAATGTGGCAAATACTGCATCCAGTTGATCACCACATTACAAAAGTATTGTACACTATATATAAAATGTGATTTAATATATTCCTCCAAAATCATTCGGACTCAGATACATGGATTTGTAACGTCCCAAGTTTTTTAAAGCGATTTACAAATGAATCTAATCATAGAGATGTATTTCTCTAAATGTTTATATATCAAATCTGTGTATGTATCTGGGGGAGTGCACGTGTAAACAGGATTGTATTTTAAAACATTCTATGTTTGTCAGCAAGCGGAATTTACAGTTAAGTAACTCCATGTGTATCCAGGTCCAACACAGATATGTCACCATCAACACGAAGTGTTCACTTCCTTATCCCACTGGATGGATAGTTACCAGAGTCCTCATGATGTTGTTGTGTGAGAGTAGGGAACCGTACTGTATTCTCTCTTGGTCTTCGTCCGCCCTTTATACTTGAGCGTAGCCCAAGGTCTCTGGTATGTGTGCGTGCCTGTGTGTGTATGTGTGTGCGTGTGCATGTGCGTTTGTGAATATGTGTGTGCGTGTGTGCATGACCTATCGAGAGCCAAGCTGAAGAGGTTACTGGGATCTGCTTGTCCACCTGAGTTACGGTGTATATTTTTTTTCTATACATTGCGTCTTTTACGGCAATTCGTTTCATTTTTTCCCTCATGTAAGTCGGTCTGTATCATCTTCACTCTGTTCCCAGATGCTTGAGGTGAAACAGAGACTCCAGATGTTAGCAGAAAGCTTACTTTGTCTACTTGAAATTTTGGCAACGATGTAACTCATTCATGACGAGGAGAGGTAAGTTGTCTCAATTTATTTTCTACGAGGACAAGTTAATTCGTATCTATTCCTACTGTGAATAAAAGTCAGCTGGTTTCGAATAATTTATTTTTTTGTGAGGACAATGAAATTATAACTCAAGTCTACATAAGGGGAATTACTAGTAGACCCCTGGCTATCTTCAAGAGGGAGCTGGACAGGCACCTAAGGTCAGCACCTGACTAGCTGGGGTGTGCTTCGTGTGTTGGTTTGCGTGTGACCAGCAGTAACAGTCTGGTTGATCTGGCCCTGAGACCTGGTTATGGAATGGGACGCAGGGGCGTTGATCCCAGATACACCCTCCATGTATTTCTGCCAGGAAAAGTCAATTGGCTCACGTCTACTCTTTCTACGAAGACAGGTAAGCTAGATTACGTGTACTGAATACCCTTCCTGTGAGGCTGGTTAATCTCTACTACTTCTACAAGGCCAAGAAAGCTGGTTTACATCTACTACTACTGCAAGGGCAAGAAAGCTGGCTTACAGCTACTACTCCTACAAGAGCAAGAAAGCTGGTATACATCTACTACTACCGCAAGGGCAAGAAAGCTGGTTTATATCTACTACTACTGCAAGAGCAAGAAAGCTGGCTTACAGCTACTACTCCTACAAGAGCAAGAAAGCTGGCTCACATCTACTACTGCAAGGGCAAGAAAACTGGCTTACATCTACTTCTACAAGGGCAAGAAAGCTGGCTTACATCTGCTCCTACAAGGGCAAGAAAGCTGGCTTACATCTACTCCTACAAGGGCAAGAAAACTGGCTCACGTCTACTACTGCTGCAAGGGCAAGAAAACTGGCTCACGTCTACTACTGCTGCAAGGGCAAGAAAACTGGCTTAGGTCTACTACTTCTACAAGGGCAAGAAAGCTGGCTTACATCTACTCCTACAAGGGCAAGAAAGCTGGCTCACGTCTACTACTCCTGCAAGGGCAAGAAAACTGGCTTACATCTACTACTCCTACAAGGGCAAGAATGCTGGCTTACATCTACTACTCCTACAAGGACAAGAAAACTGGCTTACATCTACTCTTTCCTTGAGGACAAGTGGTCTCACATCTACTCATTCCACGAGAACGAGTAAGCTGGCTCACATCTACTCTTCTTGTGAGGCGTAGCTAACGTTATTCAAGGTTACCGTCTCGAGGCTGCCCAGGTCTTAAACCTCCTCATTACATCTCTACCAGTATAACGGCCACTACTGCGAGGAAAAAAAATATGGGCCAATAATTAGTACTTTCTCTCCTGATGTGATGTACATGAATGGTTCACAGTATCGACAACATGAAGAAGTACACACATGTGCAACATCTTGGTATCTTTATTGTAGACGTTTCGCCATCCGGTGGCTTTATCAATATAAGGACATAGGTTAGGTTAGGTTAGGTTCCTCAGGAAACAGGACACGTATTTCCTGACGCAGGTCTTAGATAAGGACGTAATGGGAAGACCTTTGTATATAATTCTATAGCCTTCCCATTATGTCCTTGAATTTGTATTGATGAAGCCACTGGAGGGCGAAACGTCTGTAATGAAGATACCCAGATTTTGCACATGTTTCTAATTCTTTATCTTCTAATGTATTCAGTGTAGTTAATGTATTATAGATTATTTTCCCTGTTGCCAAAAAATGGTAAATAAATTAGTTTCTACCCGTAGCTTAGTATATTTTATTAGCTAACTAATTTAGTGATTTTTATGCTTCTCGGGGTAAACTGCCTTAGTTGAGTTTATTTTTGTGCTTAACAATATGTTATTACGTGTAAAAATTTATTTTGTATAGTGTAGAAAGAAATGTAGGTGTTTATAGTAACCAATCCTGTATCTCACAGATAAATCGCTTTGTTAAATAACAAAAAAGGCACAATACCGTGACTGGAACGATACACAAATAACCCGCACATAAAAGAGAGAAGCTTACAACGACGTTTCGGTCCGACTTGGACCATTGACAAAGTCACACTAACCAGAGGTGGAGCAGGACGGCTATATATAGGCAGGAAGAGGTGGTGGTAGCAGTAGTAGTAGTAGTACAAGAGTTGTATATAATACCGACAAGATGAAATTAAGACACATGCACAACACCCGGGCATCCCCATCATAGACGTTTCGCCATCCAGCCAGCCGGGTGTTCTGAACACCCGTGACTTAACATAAGAACATAAGAACATAAGAACGATGGAACACTGCAGAAGGCCTACTGGCCCATGCGAGGCAGATCCAAGTCTCCTACCGGCTTAAGCCAATGCACCCAACCTAGTCAGGTCAGGTCACATTGACTTAAGGGAGGAACACGGCAACCGACCTGGTAGCACAAGCTATCAGGTCTAACTCACACCCACCCACATCTACTCATGTATTTATCCAACCTATTTTTAAAGCTACACAACGTTCTGGCCTCTATAACGGTACTTGGGAGTTTGTTCCACTCATCCACAACTCTATTACCAAACCAGTACTTTCCTATATCCTTCCTGAATCTGAATTTTTCCAACTTAAAACCATTGCTGCGAGTCCTGTCTAGGCTAGATATTTTCAGCACACTATTTACATCCCCTTTATTTATACCTGTCTTCCATTTATACACCTCAATCATATCCCCCCTAATTCTACGTCTTTCTAGAGAGTGCAGTTTCAGGGCCCTTAGTCTATCCTCATAGGGAAGGTTTCTGATACATGGGATCAACTTTGTCATCCTCCTTTGTACATTTTCCAGAGAATTTATATCCATTCTGTAATACGGTGACCAAAACTGTGCAGCATAATCTAAATGAGGCCTAACCAAGGATGTATAGAGTTGAAGAACAACCTGAGGACTCCTATTATTTATGCTTCTTGATATGAAGCCAAGGATTCTATTAGCTTTATTGCGAACACTTATGCACTGTTGTCTTGGTTTCAGATTACTGCTAACCAGAACTCCTAAATCTTTTTCGCAATCCGTAATATTAAGATCTACATTATTTAGTTTATATGTGGCATGGTTATTGTCCTGTCCAACATTTAGAACTTTGCATTTGTCTATATTAAACTGCATCTGCCACTTCTCCGACCACTGCATCAGTCTATTCAAATCTTCCTGGAGTGCTCGAATGTCCTCGTCAGAATGAATTCGACGGCCTATTTTGGTGTCATCGGCAAACTTGCCGATGTCGCTCTTTATGCCCTCATCTATGTCGTTTATGTAGATTGTGAACAGCAGGGGGCCCAACACTGACCCCTGTGGAACACCGCTCGTGACGCTTCCCCACTCTGATTTCTCCCCATTTTTTCTTTTTCTTTTTCTTCTTCTTCCTTTTCCCCTTTCCTCTTTCCTTTTCTCCTCTGGGTTGTCTTTCTCTCTCCTGTTTCGTGTTTCTGTTCCTTCTTCATTTATTTCACCACTTCCCTTTCACGCACCTCTGTGCGCTTGCTCTCCCTCTGTGAGCATCTAGCTCTCTTGCAGTGCTCCCCTTCCTTTGTATTTGACTGGCTCGTCCTTTTTATTTCCCACTTCTACCACTACCACTACTACTACCTCTTCTTCTTCTACTACTACTACAACTACTGATGAAATTAAGACACATGTGCGGCGTCTGGTTGTCTTTGTTGTGGACGTTTCGCCATCCAGTGGCTGGCTGGATGGCGAAACGTCTATGATGGGGATGCCCGGGTGTTGTGCATGTGTCTTAATTTCATCTTATCGGTATTATATACAACTCTTGTACTACTACTACTACTACTACTACCACCTCTTCCTGCCTATATATAGCCGTCCTGCTCCACCTCTGGTTAGTGTGACTTTGTCAATGGTCCAAGTCGGACCGAAACGTCGTCGTAAGCTTCTCTCTTTTATGTGCGGGTTATTTGTAAATCGCTTTGTTGATGAACGTAGCCACTGCTTAACAACTTCCAAAAGTCATATTGACAACACTGTAGAAGATAATACGCACGTTGAGTAAGATTTTTATTGCAACTGCGTTTTTTCTCTCTGTGTATAGAGCTTTGTCAAGTCATAAGTTGAGCTGGATCCGCTGGCCTGGCGGCTAATGCTCTCGCTTCACACGGCGAGGGTCTGGGTTCGATTCCCAGCGAGGGGTAGAGACATTGGGGGTGTTTCTTTACATCGGGTGTCTATGTTCACCCATCAGTAAAATGGGTATCTGGGTGTTAGTTGACTGGTGTGGGTCGCATCCTGGGACAATAATAATCTAATTTGCCCGAAATACTCTGCATAACAAGCGGCTTTCTATATATAGTAGTATGTCATTGATGTCAGCTAGTACTGTATGCCATGTATTTGTAGAAATAAAGATATTATATTATATATTACGATAATAACCTGCAGGACCTACGTAATAATTCAACTAAAAATCCCTGGACAAGGATTTCCTATATTACTGTTGTGTTATTGTCAGATCCTCCCGCCTCCTTGCCTGAGTGAATGACGTTCGTGGACGAAAAACTTGGCGACATCTTGTCAGTTTAATGTCTGTATGATATATCCCATACCCATACTGTAGGCTGTAATCAAAATATTACAGACGCATATAATGGGTCCAGGGACTGGGCCCCAAAGTTTTCATAAGTAGATAAGATACAGTGGTAATAAACTGTTTACATGTTTATATCTGGTTATAATCGTGAACATTAAAATGAGTTGTTTATGTAGATATAAATTAGGTCACAAGTGTAACAGTGTAGCTAACTTGCGGTTTTGAATTATTTATATTCCAATATATTATAGCAAGTCGTGGTTGAATTTAAACAAATTTAAGTGATTTTGAGTTATTTACTATAAGCAAAGTCAGGGTATTATTCGAGAATGGTTGACAATGTACCACTGTGGAGTGAGTTGTCTTTAAATTCATTAATTTTATCACATTCCAGCACATAATAGCGCAAGTTGTGACAGTAGTCTGTCTTGCAGACTTTATATTTATCTGTCTGCATCAGCTGGTGGTGATGATGCAACCACTCACATATTTGTAGCCCAGCCGGAGCCGGGCGGTAGTGACGTCTAAGAGTCTGTTTATTTTTGTTGGATACACCATAGACACGTGGCTCCCCCTGCATGATGGAACGATGCAGTGGACAGACAGGTGTCCCACTCCCTCAGTTCCAAGTCAATGAAATTCACTGGAAGTTCTTTTCTTATTATTTCTCATAAACAGCTAACTGATAGCCAAAGATTGCAATCTGCGCCAATTTTTCAGTTCTATCATGCATCTAAAGACCACTGGGAGAAGAAATCCACAGAAGGTGCACTCAGATTCCACTGTCCACAATTCTACCACACCTACGTCTGGCTTCTGACACAAACATGCCACAACCGACACTCATGAAATTAAAAACATTTATGAATGATAGAAAATTAGTAACACTTAATGTGTCAACCTTAGACACATTTGAATGCAAGGAATATAGCAAAAAGTTCAGTTTGAAGAGTAAATGGCCCAATTGTTGATGCTTGCTCCAGTTTCTATACGAAAGCTGCGTCACCGTCACTTAAGTCGGGTGTCTGAGGCTAAAGCAGTCAAGTTCTCATAAAGAACGACTTTACTAATACGTGTAAGGAGGTACGAGACTGGCTAGTAAAGGAAAATATGGTAGAATTCAATTGATATGTGACCATATATTTCGTGTAGCCCATAACTCTGCTATGGAGGGCTACTTGCGAGGAACTAAAAAAGTGTTTAGGATAACCAAAAAAACTTCTGGACTAGCTTGAGAAAAGATTTAGGAAGATGCATCAATGCTTGTCACGAATGTTAAACGAGAAAAGATTTAAGAAGATGTATCAATGCTTGTCACGAATGTTAAACGAGAAAAGATTTAAGAAGATGCATCAATGCTTGTCACAAATGTTAAACGAGAAAAGATTTAAGAAGATGCATCAATGCTTGTCACGAATGTTAAACGAGAAAAGATTTAAGAAGATGCATCAATGCTTGTCACGAATGTTAAACGAGAAAAGATTTAAGAAGATGTATCAATGCTTGTCACGAATGTTAAACGAGGAAAGATTTAAGAAGATGCATCAATGCTTGTCACGAATGTTAAAGAGGATAGGTAAACCAGAGCATTTCATAAACACGGCACCATTGTAGCCAATTCCATATTTTGAGGACCATTTACTGATCTAATAAGTGTGTGTGTTTAGGCCCGCTACTTAAGTCAAGGTTAGGAAATAAATCTACATTTGCACTGATGTTCAAGGCTACAAGATACCCTGGACCTATAAGAACTATTACTATAACATCAAATCAGTACTGAAATCAGCCCTGGGAGGATTAGGCAGCACATCTCTAGTGTACCTAGCCATCAGAGACTTGGAGACCTGATCTCCACTCATTGCATGTCACCCGCCTTCCCGCTGGAGTCGCTGTAATGGCCTGCTAATAACCTCCGTTGTACCCCACACCAACCACCATTAGAGCAAACTGACTTTTGGGACATCAGTTGTCCAAAGAACCGGAGAGCAACTCCTCTTCCCACCGAAGGACTGCCGTGCAAGTAAGAGAAACGAAGTTGAACGACACTGCCCTACCCGGGGAGCCAATGCCGGGTCACCAAACTGGAGGAGACCCGGGCCAGGATCTGTATCAGCAAATCACCCTGAGTATGATATTTCTTCCCGATTGGGCTCTAATTTTGAGACTAAGGCCTTCTGCAACGTTACAACTCGTCTTGAGATAAAATAGAGTTTTCCTTAAACATATCCTCATTCACAGAGGGCATTAGAATGTTTATTTTAGGAAACGTTGAAAATCTACAATGAGAACTGTTGGGTGAATTTCCTCAACAGGAACGGAAGTCTTCCATTGCTTTTTTTTCGCCATCAATTATATTTCATGAAGTTGGTCGGTTTTGTCCTTTTGAACCGAAATACTGTCAATGAGGGACCCGTACTAATTTCTAAAAAAAAAAAAAAAGTCAATGATCTCACAGCAAAACTTCTGACTATACGACAAATCACTGAAGGAACCTACAGAAAACGCAGAGGGAAGGGAGGGGGGGGGAGAAAGAAAGGTATAAATGAAGTTACTAATTCCTTTTGGTTGGTTGGTTAGGTCTAAAGCCTAATGACTACTCGAGGGGTCATTAAGGTTGCATGTCACCTGTTCACCACCTGAGATTATAATAAATTTGATCGTAGCAGGTCTAGCATGTACAGCACCAGACCTGCTGCCAGCAGGTCCACAGTTCCACCCAAGTTCATTCTTCTGTTTATTCACTGACAATCGTTTCGTTTCTTACTACTTGTGTTACGTTTATAGACTACATACCTTTGATGAGTGTAAGAATAGATTCAGTGCGATGGCTACTGTGGCTGTGGGGAGACAATAGGATCACAGACTGTGGCTGCTGAAGGAAACATGAACAGAAGCTGAACAGAAGCTCTGTTTTCAGATTCTTCCTACTAAAAGCCTCATAGCTCAGTGATAAAGCTCTGGACCTGTTTCCACCAGGTCCATGGCTCGATCCCCTGTCCATTCTTCTAATCATATATAACTAGTGCTTTGTCTGGAGCTTTACAATGAAAAAAATTGTGAAGAAAATTAAATACTGCCTGAGTAATCCCATGTCCATAAAGGTGGTAGTCACACATAATTAATCCCATGTCCATGAAGGTGGTAGTCACACATAATTAATTCCATGTCCATGAAGGAGGTAGTCACACATAATTAATCCCATGTCCATGAAGGTGGTAGTCACACATAATTAATCCCATGTCCATGAAGGTGGTAGTCACACATAGTTAATCCCATGTCCATGAAGGTGGTAGTCACACATAATTAATCCCATGTCCATGAAGGAGGTAGTCACACATAATTAATCCCATGTCCATGAAGGAGGTAGACACACATAATTAATCCCATGTCCATGAAGGAGGTAGTCACACATAATAGGAATCCATCATCCGAGTGAGATATGGTAAAGTAACAAAATAAGACAGTAGATAAGAGGGTGTAACTTAAGTTCAATACAGTGCGTCTTAAATGATAACATAAATTACATTTTTCTCGTGTGTTACGGAATACTTAGAATTATATGCGTAGATGCTCATGCAGGCTAAATAAACGTATAAATTATATATCAGTTTTGATTCGTTTTTATTTCGTTTTGATACTTTTTTTTACATAAACTTTGTGGGTAACTTAATTATGACAGTAGGGTTCAGTAGTAGCGTGTTGGAGGAGCCGCTGCTGCTGCCTGCCTCTGGTAGGTACTGAAGAAGGAATGTTTAGCTGCGGCCACCTCGGGGGTGTCAACAACTGGGTGGGAGCCAGGGAGGCCGGCGGGGACGGTGGCAGCTACGGGGCCGGTCCACTTAGGTTGATGGTGGTAGGAAGGAGTGTATGAAGGAGCACCCTGGTAGTGAGGGCTGGGGGCACGACCTGCAGTGGCAGCAAGCTGAGACTGGTAGGCGTTGAAGAAAGCGTTGCGGGCAGCAGCAACGTCCCTTGTGTCGGATACGGGGGTAATGGTACCGTCGACGCCGGCGGGTATGGTAGCAGCCACGGGGCCGGTCCACTTGGGTTGGTGGTAGTGGCCAGGATTGTATTTCCCATGGTTGTATTGATGAGGGTTGTAGTGACCGGTATTATAGGCCTGTTGGTGAGCGCTGTAATGTGGCTTAGCGGCGGCCTCAGCAGCTCGGTAAGCTTGGAAGAAACGAGCTTTCTCTGCCGCCACTTCTGGGGTGTCTCCTATGGAGGGGACAGCCGAGCACACGCCCAACACTGCCAAAATAACCTGTGGAAATACGATACATTGTCAGTGTTCTTCCTGACTCTCTTTGCACCTCTTCGAGTGATGCATCGAGCACCGGCTCCGACTTACTGTAAATGAAGCTTGCAACATCATTAAAGTTGCTTTTAAGGTCAATTTAAGCTGAATCATCATTATAATATAAACTACGAGAGATGAGGAGTTTAGTGTAAATGAAGAGTTGTAGAAGAAAAATTTGACTGTCATTCAGTTTTGCAGAATAGATCATTAAAATGCATTGGCAGCAAAATTTAAATTAGCTAGGTGAGCACAGTCTTATGTTAGCTAGGGGAAAAAAATAATTTTTTTTGTGATCTATGGAAAGATGATTTCAGATGAGCTAGGAGAAAAGTAATTTCATGTTAGCAAGGTAAAGATAATCTCACTTGAGCTAGGGAAATTAAAGTACCGGTACATATAAGTTGAGGCACAGATAATGTGAGCTAAGGGAAAGATAATCACATTAGAAAAGATATTAACATTTAGGTTAGAGAATTTTTACCGCAAATGAGTTCAAGTTAGTTCCCACAACAACTTTTGTAAGCAAAATAATAATTAAGATAATTCCATCGTGCAAAACAATTTTAATCGCTGCAAAAAAAAAAAAAAAAAAAAAAACTGGCCATAATGGAAAATTGAATCAGTACACAGAGGGACAAAAAATTTAGACAAAAACAATAAGATAATGAATATGATTACACTCTGGAAATCAAAGAGTTTTTTCTGTATGAGATAATAGGCTAAAACATAACTGTATCCCCACTTCATACTAGCAGCACTGGACATGTATGGAAACAGAGTTCCAGTCACACTAATACAAATACTATATTGTACGTGTACACTTCAGAGATTTACACTCATGTAAAATAATTTACGCTACACCTACTCTTCAGAGACATCACTGAAACGAACAGTAATTGGCTAGATAGTTACCAGAGCCCTCATGGTGCGTGTTTGTGTTCGTGGGAAGAGAACCGTACTGCAGGGAAGGAACCTCTGAGCCCAACCTATATACCCGAGCCAGGAGCCTGGCCTTGAATAGGGCCTCACCCTGCGGCACGCCGCGCGCCCTAACATACCGTGCCCCACCTCCTACATTTGATCTTCGACCCACTTTATCACTTTCGCGTACGTCTCAACGCCCGGACCAAGCATCGCAGCGGGAAACCTGTTTTTAATATTTTCAGTGCTTGTTGAGAATTAGTGAACAATAAGAGAGGTGAGTACAGAGATTTTTTTGCTGTTATTAGTGCATATTTTCTTGTGTTATATCAAGGGATGCGTGACGCGAAGGGTCAAGTAGAACTAGTGATATAGCCGCCCTGCCTTCCACACAGTTACTCCGCCTGGGTAACACATAGCTTAGACAAGCGCTGACGACGGCGCAGCCGTGGTACCTGCAGCAGCGTCCTGGTCCGGCACTGACCGACTTCTGAACGCTGATCTACCACCTCATACACAGGAAATACTTAGCTTTTTGACTGTATATTGTGATCATACGGAGCTGACTCGCGTTCAACAGTGGTCTTCGATTCAGATTCCCAGCAATCTCACCTCGGATATTTAAACTAGTTCTGCTCGCCTGTCTTTGATTTTGTGGTGGCGGAAATGTGCGAATAACAGTTGAACTATATTACAGATGTGAGTAGGAAACCCCCCCCCAAAAATTTTTTTCGTATCGCCATTAAGCTTACACTGCCGGTAAGCAGATTCTGTACACAGTTTTGAGAAGTGTGATGGCGTTTGTGAGGTCAGTCTCAAGCTCAGCACTCACAACTGGTGAGCACAGAAGGGCGTTTATCATATTCGCGATATACATAACAATCACAGCAAGAGATAACTAGCGCATAGAACTCACAAAGGAAGACAAGGAAATATGCGAGGAGCCCACTCAAATATTCCAGGGAGGATTTACGACCGATGTACAAGTTACTGGATGTTAAGTAAATTATCTCGACAAGGCGAATAGACATATACATGTTAGTGTTTGTGGACGACACAAAAGTATTGAGGAGATAAAGGACAGAATGCACAAGTAAGAGTAGTCTGTAAGCTGTTCCTGGAAGCCTTGAACAACAATAACCCAACAAGTAGTTACCGAACAAATGCAAGGTTATGAGGACTGAATCAGGAAGTAGGAAGCAAGAGGAAGAGCACAATTTCAGAGTGAGACAAGGGAGAAAAGAGTAAGAGAAAGGAGCTGACGGACCTCCACCGCCATATTAAACGTAAGCGATACTGCAGTTGTCTTAGCCTGTCTTCGTAGTCTGTGTCGTTCTCCGCCAGCATCCATCAACCTGTGATAAATAGTTTTGAAACCGACAAGATGAAGATTGAGACACTTATGCAACATATGGGAATCTTTATTAAGAAAACGTTTCGCCACACATTGACTTCATCAGTCTAATACAAAGTTAAAATGGGTAAGGAGAGAAGGAAGAAATATTTTGGTTATACCAAGATGTGGAAAAAGACACTTATGTACAGTCCTGAACTGTACATATGTTGCACAAGTGTCTCAATCTTCATCCTTCTGCTTATCTATCATTTACTCCTTCGTAGATTTTTTCTCTTGTGATCTCTTTTGGGTTTGTTTTGGTCTTTGATTTCATATTTTCCAGTTATCTTCGTAGCTCTGGTAGTTCCAGGATCTTCCTTGTAGCAAACCTGTCAATTTCATCCAGTTTATGGTCAACAGGATGACGTGAGGGTTCCTTACTGGTGCCGAGTAGACATATTGGTGACTCAACAGTCTCGCGTTTAGCAGAAGGAGGATCGAACCTCCATCTTTTGTTTTTTGGTGAGGGGAGGACGATGTATGACCCTTACGGGTACACCTCTCTGCAATAAATAAAAATACGAAAATTTCTCTCCTGGATCACATACATATAAAGAAAATAACCTCAACGACATATGCCCAGCTAACGACAATAATGTGAATAGGAGGGCATCGAGATCATTTTGGTCAAGCACTCGAGTATGCAGCACCAGTATAGAACCCTCATCACAATGTGTATGGAAAGAGGAGCACTAAAATAAACTCATGGGTTTGCTTCAAGGCTTGTTCCAGGAGTACGAGAACTGGGATTCGAAGATAACAACTTATGAGATATTTATAGAAAAAGTAGATGAGATACAGGAAAGTAGATAAGATACTCATAGTAGGGAAAGTGGATAGGGAGAGAAAATTGTGATGGAAGGAAACCAAACGAAAGAAAGTCAATGAAAGCTAGAAATTCAAATGAGCAATAAGGATATAAGAAAGGAATGCTTGAGTGTGAGGACAGTGGACTGCATGGGACAGAGAAGCTGCGATGTAGGACATATCAATATACGGATTCAAGAGTCGATATGAGGGTTGAACAAAGACAGTAAACAAGACATGCCAGTGAACTGAGCTGCTGCAAAAGCGGAACCCAAGAGGTAGAGCTCAACCCTGGCAGACAAATGAGCACACACACAAACACACGAATATATATGGTGAACGCTATAAAGAATCATTTTACGACACTAGCGAAACAGACGATACGGCGTACGCTGTCAGTGGCCCTATAAGCCTCAACAATAACAACAACAGACACTACAGCTGCCCGAGTCAGCGAGTTAAAAAGTCAGACTAAACACACCTGACAATGTTTAGCTTGCCTGCTGGGAGGAGGACATGGACATGTCACAGGTAAAAAGTATTGAAGACACGAACCATTTGATATATTCTTGTCTTCGAGGAAGGAAGATAGGTGTGTCTTGATGCCAGCGGAAAAGATCATGATATAGGGGAATTTTAACGACCCTTCCCTTGGATCAAACTTTCCTATGAACCTATGTAATAATAATAATAATAATAATAATAATAATAATAATAATAATAATAATAATAATAATAATAATAATAGAGAAAGGCTTCAGTGATTTACATTAACATATTTTCTCACATTCCTCACATAGATCACTGACGTTATTTTTTTAGCATGCACATATCTGTAGGTGTTATTTGAGAGCTTCTCTTGCTTGTAGAAAATGTAGACATACACATATACATACACGCAAGATAACCAAGACGAATGGTAAATAAATTCCAAGAGGTTTCTTTGTCTCTCAGCCACATTTTGGCATTCATGGCGCTGAGAATGTAACTGAGAGGTCACGAAATCTATTAACATTCACTGTGGTTACAGTGTACACTAGGGTATCACTCGCTTCTGGCCGTCGGGAACACGCTGCTGTAGCCACATGCGCATATACACAAGCATATACACACGCATATATACACGCGTAAGGAATACACAGCTTAGTCTTCAACGCAAGGACTAAGAGTTAAGGAGTGAGCACATCACTGAGCATATCACCAGAGGTGTACATCACCAGAAGTGTACGTCACCAGAGGTGCACATCACCGAGTTTATCACTGGCATCATGGAAAAGTCTGGCGGACCTATGAACTGCCTTTAGGAACCTCAGCAAAGATTCACAGAGCAAGTAGCACCACCACGGACTTCACATGTATATACATGCGAGAAATCATGTGAGAAATCACGAAAGCGCTAGGAAGTTCACTCTTCTTTTCACAGTGGTTGCTCTGCATGTTGTGATATCACCTATTTACTGTGGTTTTGTTGCATGCATGTACATGCCTACATCCATGCACGCAATCATAAACATACGTAATTAAGGAATGATTTGTTTATCGATATTCACCTTCAACACGAAACGGAACGAACAAGTCTGTGAGTGAAGGAGCTAATGAACACGAAAAAGAGAGTGATTGAGATATGAATACATTAATGCAAGACTGGGTAATTATGTAGGAAGATACGTGAGTGACAGGAAGGATGAAAGGAGTCACTGAGTGGAAGTATGAATGAATTACCGTACGCAACTGAGAAGATGAATGACTGACTGGTGAAATAGTAAGATACGTGAGTAAGTGGAGGGATGAGTAAGTGGAAGGGATGAGTGAGTGAATGAGACAGTTCCCGTGTAGTGTTGAGTGAAGTGGACTGTTACTGCACCAGTTCTTGGTGAAAAGTCAAGGTAAGAGAGACACCTTGTTCTCTTCTCCCTCTCTTCCCCTCCCTCCCCAACGCTCCCTTAATCTGCTTTCTCCCTCCTCCCCCTCCACCTTGCTCCCTGTTCCTTCTCCAGTGGCTTCTGCTCCCTGTTTCGTAAGCAGCTCTCCCTGTCAGGTGTTCTATTGATGATCCAGTGTTCTCATGAACTCTCTGGAGGAAAGGAGGGAAGGAGAGCAGGAGAGAAGGAGGAATGGAAGGAGGGAGGAAAGAGAGAGTAATATTCCAGAGGATAGGGAGGGAGAGATTGGGGATATATAAAAAGTATATAACGCGGAATGAGTGTGAAAGACGGAGGAGGAGGAGGGAGAGGTGGAGGAAGAGGAAGAGGGGGAGGAGGAGGAGGAGGAAATGGAGGTGATGTCAGAACTTGGTACAAGAAGATAGGCCAAGTGTTAAGTATTTCTTAGTAACGATTATTATTATTATTATTATTATTAATTATTATTATTATTATTATTATTATTATTATTATTATTATTATTATTATTATTAGTATTAGTGGATTTGGATTTGATTTAGTGGGTTTGGATTTGATAAGAACCTGCCCAGTATGGGCCTGCTGCAGTGTCTGTTAAGTTCCTTTTATTATTATTAAAACAATTATTACCATTATTATTACTATTTTATTATTATTATTATTATTATTATTATTTATTATTATTATTATTATTATTATTATTATTACTACTACTACTAGTAGTAGTATAGTATTCTCTTTTGGAAGAGTTAAACTCGTAGGGGCAACACAGCGCCTGGCGGAAGAGATATAATTAGAACTGATCTTAGGAAATAGGGGAGTGGCTCTTTCTCTCTCTCTCTCTCTCTCTCTCTCTCTCTCTCTCCTCTCTCTCTCTCTCTCTCTCTCTCTCTCTCTCTCTCTCTCTCTCTCTAATTAAATAGACATAGTCCTATTAACATTTTTAAACCTTGGTTCAATATTTTTGTTTTATATTTTGTTTACGTATGTCTGTCAGTTTATCTTCAAGTAACGCCTTAAAATTTCCATCTAGAGAAAATGGGATTTTTCAGCACTAGCTTCATAATGAGTTCTTAACAGTGCTTCAGTACTTACTTTAAGAAAGTAAGGTCTTTGGTACTTCCCTTTAAAAACTAAGTAATTCAGTACTTCCTTTCAAAATGAGTTGCCTAACATAATCTTCAAAGTGAGTTCTTTACTTTCCCCTCAAAATAAGTTCTTCAGAAAACTCCTTTTCAGAATAAGTTCTCTCAATTCCTTCAAACCCCAGGGTGATATTTATTTGCTGCTGCTGCTGCTGCTGCTGCTGGACTCTCGCTTCAAAGAAATGGAACGGCCTTTACGTTTCTTGGGTCAGACTTTATTACTTCCCATTTCCCAGGCGCCGTATAACCCCTACAGGCTCTGAGCGTTAGAGACCTGACCACACGTCACCACAGCCTTGTACCAGAGAGAGAAAGAGAGTCGAAGGACTTCACCCTACCTAGCAGAAACTAATAGTGGAACAGGAGGCTAGGGATGGCTTCTAGCTTCCTGTTCCAGCTGCTGTGGACGCTTCTGGGTGAAGGAGAGGAGGAAAGAATGGTGCATTGTTCGCCAGAGAGGAAAAAAGAAAAGCGACCAGCCACTGTGGACGCTTTAGGAAGAAGGAAAATAAGTGGGGGAATGGGTGGTGGTTTTATCTTTCAGTGAATAGGATAGTGTCTCCTGACTAGCTGGAGTTTGTCAAATGATGTTCCGTTTAGTCATTCAGTAACTGCTGGCTCACGGTTTTATATACACAAGATGAGCCTCCTCTATATTCTTCTATAAATATAGGAAGATATGGAAGAGGTTCATTTGGAAGCCGAGTCCACCAAGGGAATAATACTTCCAGATTTATCAAGGAGATATACTGACCTCACATCAGCTATGGTAGTAAGGGATGTGGTTCAGTAAGACACGTGAGCAAACACTGGGATATATTTATTAGAAAACATTTAGATCCTGGGACTTTGATCACTTCTAGGGGACGTCAGGGACAACTAGACGCAATGGATTCCTTAAATAACGACGACGCTTCACACACTCCAGGACTTGACCGGGCCATTTCCTGGGAGAAACGTTGTTCTTAATGAAGGTATCTACTACAGCATTTAAATGTCCCTTTCTCCACCTTGTTGGTGTCTACACACCATTCAAGTTCCAGCTAATAGAAGCTCCAAAGTTTAAGCCAGCATTCACGGACCTTAAAAATATGATTCATCAAATCATCAGCGATGTCAATAATCTCAAAGAGACCACAACAATATAAAACCAAATTGACACAGACTATCACGTCTGTGTCCAGCACACGGTGAGCATACAGGACTCAAATTATCGTGAATTATCAGCCCTTAGAGGGCCATAGCACCACTTTATCGTACATTATAAGAGCTCTGCTCAGCACACAGTGAACTTAGAGGCCTTAGAAGAGTAGAGGGTAACTTTATCGTAGATTATTAGTCTTACCAGCCCTTGTAGATTTCTTTGTATCCCCCACAAATCCGACTCTGTTACAAGGAGGCTTGAGAGGATGCGCTTAACTCTCCTCTCCTCCAAGGAGGAGTGAAGGTATACCTAGCTGACTCTGCTGCAAGTAGAAGTGAAGGGATACCTCACTGCTACAAGTAGGAGTGAAGGGATACCTGACTGCTACAAGTAGTAATGAATGGATACCTAACTGACTCTGCTACAAGCAGGAGTGAAGAGATACCTAACTGACAAGTAGGAGTTAAATAATGTGATCCTGACGATGGATACCGTAAAGGGCAGCGGGGAAAAGCCCGTCTCCAACACACAAACACACTCCCAGGCTTGAAAAACACTGACTGGTGCAAGTGTTTGTGTTTATAAATGGCTCAGAGAACCGATAAGTTGATACATTACACGCAAGTGCAACACTTGGGTATCTTTAGTGAGGAAACTCTTCGCCACACAGTGGCTTCATCAGTCCAATACAAAGGAGAATGTTGAAGATCAGAAGGAGTTTGAGGTAATCAGTCCCTCAGCCTGGAGTCGATTCCAGGCTGAGGGACTGATGAAGCCACTGTGTAGCGAAACGTTTCCCTCAATAAAGATACCTAAGTCTTGCACCTGTGTACAATTTATCAATAATATCAACAATAACAACAATAATAATAATAATATAATAATAATAATAATAATAATAATAATAATAATAATAGTAATAATAATAATATATTTTTCAGATAATGTATAATAGATAAAATCGAAGAAGTGGAATATTCAAATGCCCTAATGGGCAAATCCAAATATTTCTCCAGGGATCATGTTTATCCCTTTTCCCGAGGCTGGGAGTTCCCATAACTTGCCCGGACCGCGGGGGGCGTTGACCCCTGGAACACCCTCCAGGTAGACTCCAGTTAACGTACCTGCGTAGGACAGAGAAAAAAAACAAATATTCGGAACAAACATCAACTGGGGAGAGCGAAACGTTGTCAGCATAAGCTTGTTCTTGGAGAGAAATGGAATGAAACATCGACACGAAGCGTAAAAACATAAAGGCAGTTAAGTGCGATTTGTTTTCAGTAACAACATTTCGCTGACGCTGTAAGGCGTGAGTCCAGTGACTTGAAAAAAACCTACAGCGTGGGCGAAACGTTGTCAGTAAAGGAACGTGTTATACTGCTGAAGATTGTTCCTCACACTTGGCCTTCCTTCCAAGACATTCCTCTGATGGTGTTTCGCCCCTCTCACGGTATTTCGCCCCTCTTACGGTGTTTCGCCCCTCTCACACCTGTCTGTCTTGGCAGTGCTTGAATATTCCTTACCAGGAGGCTGCCTTGATGCTGATGAATAGCTCTTGATCCCAGGATTTGGAGCTGTCCTCCCCTTATTCGCATCAAACGATTATCTTCCGTTCCCCAGACGCTGTACGACTCGTACAGGTTTACCTCTTCCTCGTAAACAATAGTAATAATAATAATAATAATAATAATAATAATAATAATAATAATAATAATAATAATAATAATAATAATATATCGTTATTATTATTATTATTATTATTATTATTATTATTATTATTATTATTATTATTATTATTATTATTATTATTATTATTATTATCATTATTAGCAAGAATAAGAATGCTGACCTATCAGGAGTACACACCTTGTAACAAGTGACCCTTGTGAAAGGTCATCAGTCTATGAGACGAGAGAGAGAGAGAGAGAGAGAGAGAGAGAGAGAGAGAGAGAGAGAGGAACACAACACACTTGACCTTTCAAAACCTTAACGAACATTAGCAAAAACGAAACGTGCATCGAAATTCTTTTACCCCCTTCCCCCCTGTCCTCCTCCCCCTTTAATAATATTGGTCTGGACGCTTGCTTTCCACCCCTCACCTGCTGCCACCACTGTCGCTTAACCTTGGCGCTTCTTGCAGCGGTAGATGGGGTTACTACCACTGAATAGCCGCTGTGCTCCAATTCAGAGCACCGGGGGATATATGTCCGTGTTTTTGCTCCCAGATAGGGATGCCGGAATATCTAATGTGAAGATGCTGGCAAGTTGTGGATCCTCTATAAGTTTTTATACTCCTGGACCTTTCGCATAGGTCAGTGTCAAGGATTCACTACCCTTCTTGTTGATGGGTTCGTCTCCACCCTTGTACTTTTGGAAGGTTGAAGGCCTAGCAAGTGCTTCTGAGGAAGCTGCAGAGGGTGGCGTCTTACAAGTGTCTGGGAAGAAAGATGCCTTGCAGAATATGCTCTGTGTAGAGCTTGGTACAGCTTTAGAGAAAGAGCGAAACGTTGTCCAGATGAATGCTCTATTTCACAGGATTTGATTCAACGAGGTGGAATTTACTTGTATTCCACTATAATATATATATATATATATATATATATATATATAATATATATATATATAATATATATATATATATATATATATATATATATATATATATATTACTTTCTATAATAAGGAACACAGATGACTCTTGGTGTGTATATACTGAGATAGCTACACACACTTCTCAGTGTGTATACACTGAGAGATACACACACACACACTTCTCTCGGTGTATGTTCAGAGAGGATACATATTTCTCATAATTTCTCTTAGTGATAGGTATACTCCAGGTATACACACCTCTCAGTATGTATACACTGAGATTTATTTTCATGAAGGTCCTTGTATCAAGAGCCCCAAGAGCGTACACTTAAGAATTTGTTGAGATTTTTAATCATCCAGGATAACCCAAGAAAGTCAGTGCGTTATCGAGGATTGTCTGTCTTATTTCCATCGTGATCCTTCAAACCTGTCCCCCAGGCTGCCACCCACACCAATTGACTGATACCCAGGTACCTACTTGTTTGCTAGGTGAACAGGGCAGCAGGTGTAAGGAAACACGCTCACTGTTTCCGTCCGTCTGGGAATTGAACCACGAACAATTAGTCTGTGCCAACCAGGCCACTTAGTGTGCTGCCATCCAGATCTTACTGCACACTTAGAGATACACACCTTGTATCTCTAAGATGGTCGTTGCTTGCCAGTGTGTATGTGTGAATCTTCCTGGTGCAGGGTGGTAAACTAGGTGCTGGGGCCGTCTGATGTGTCAGAGCGAGGCAGGAGGGATTGGGTGAGACTTCCTCGCTTCTAGGAACAGCCCCTGACCGTCACTCCCTCTCTAGCATCAGGCTAGCTAGCACCATACTAGATCTGGCTTCCTGTATTAGCGTTGATAAGTGTGTCGTAGTTGTAGCAGTGACGATGTTCTCATACTTATTATCTCCAAATTTTTATTCATTACAGGGTTTAACTCGTCTCTATTCATTGTAAATAGTGTATTGGTGAGGGTGGTGGGGGTAGCTGTGGTGATGGTGGGGTAGCGGTGGTGATGGTGGGGTAGTTGTGGTGGGGTAGTGGTGGTGATGGTGGGGTAGTGGTGGTGATGGTGGGGGCAGTGGTGGTGATGGTGGTAGTGTGGTAGTAGTTAGGTGATACTAATACCCATGCCATCAAAGTTAATTGATACTGATAATCATATATACATAAGAGAACTGGTCATGAACCGGGCCGCGGGGTCGTTGGCCCCCCGGAACACCCTCCAGGCATGTTGATAAATTAGACACATGTGCAACTCTTGGGTATCTTTATTGATACCCAAGAGTTGCACATGTGTCTAATTTATCAACATGTCGGTTCTCTGAACCATTCATCTACAAACCTGTCGGACACTGCAACTTCTTGGGATCTTAATACTTGGGAATTCTTCGCTTGCCTAATTCTTGGGCACGACCTACTTCAACATTGAACAAATGTTACGCGACCTATGACTGCTGCACCTCTCCTGCCAACGGTTTATAAGCTCCTTCTCAGCACGTATGCCGTATTCTATTCAAGATTGATGGACTGACCACATCGACTCAAGGTTGAGGGACTGATTACCTCATTCTCCTCCTGTTCTTCAAGATTCTCCTTTGTATGGACTCCTCAATAAAGATACCCAAGAGTTGCACATGTGTCTAATTTATCAACATGTCGGTTCTCTGAACCATTCATCTACAAACCCTCCAGGTATTCTGATGCTGGAAATATTTGTTGAATCAAATTTTCTTCTCATCTCTCATGGCCTTTTGAGTACTATATAAGCTGGTCCATAACATCTATTGAAATTACTTGTGCTTGTGGTCGTGAGGTGGGGTACGCGTCCTGTTGCTTATTTCTTTATTTCGTTGGTATTTAGTGTTTGGGTAATGCCACTAGCGTAGGCGGCTGTTTGAAGGAGTCTTGAATAGCTAAAATATTTTTTAGTTACAGGATCTGAGCGCGGTGGCAGCCCATTTTCTGTTTGGCCGGTAAACTATTCTCTTTTATCTACGTTTATAGTGTTCCCGTTAAAACCCAAACTTACTTAAAAAATGGGCTTGCAGACCCTATGTGAAAGTGTTGTGTCATCACATTGGTTGTGTCCTGTCTACAGTGTTGCTGCAACAGTGTTGACACAGTGCTCGTTCATTCGGTATTGTGCATCACGACACTTATAACCCGCGTATAGAAAAGAGAGAAGCTTATGACGATGTTTCGGTCCGATTTGAACCATTAACAAGTCATACACACTAATGGTTCAAGTCGGACCGAAACGTCGTCGTAAGTTCCTCTCTCCCATGTGAGGGTTATTTGTGTATTGTTCCAGTCACGGTATTGTGCCTTCTTTTGTTCTTTTTGATCATCATTTGCCACTTAACAGATGTGGAACTTCGTGAGTTAATACGCGACAAATTAATATCTGATCCATCATCTGTGACTCCTGTATCTCCCTCTGGTCTATCTTACGTACATGGAGCTCTTGATAACATCCTCTTCCCTTTCCCCTTCCCCTGTTTTCTTGCTCTTAATACCCCCCCCCCCCATTTGTCGTCTACCTGGTGTACCTGTAAGACACAGGTACACATATGTACAATTATCATATATAACATATGTGTAAATTACCCAGTATAGTCCTAGAAAAGTCAGTCAAAGTGACTTATTTCCACTGAGAAGGCTGTAGGCTAGAGCCAACAACAGCACTCTAATTACCGAAGCTCTCTACAACAGACTAGGGAACTACGTCTGTGTCTACGATTGTAGGAGAGAGAGAGAGAGGAAGATGAGGCAGGATCGTCGTACCAGTGTTCAGCATTATAGTCAACAGAAAAATCGGTAACATCGGTACCATTTTTTTTTAATTTCTGAAGCCGAGATTGATCAGTTGTTCGAATCACTGGGGAATTAATTCCAAGCTTCCCGGTGTTCGATGAAACACTTGGCGGCACTTGTACACACAACCTTGTGTGGAAAACCCGGTAGTAAAGAGCTTACTTGAGTGTCTAAGACTATAAACTACGGTGTTTGTTAAATTGACGGTGTTAAGTGTGTGCATAAGTGTGTATTCCAGCGAAGTATAAGCATCAGCCTGAGCAGTTGTATGTGGATTTTGCTGGAGAGGGATCTAAGGTAATTAATAAATGGTACCAGTCAGCAGTAGTCAGCATTTAATTAGTGTCGTAAAGTTAGCGTTACTAGACAACATTAGTGTCGTTAAGTTAGCGTTGCTAGACAACTTTATACACGTTAATAAATGAGAAACTTGTGCAACATTTGGGTATCTTTATTCTGGAAACGTTTCGCCACATAGTGGCTTCTTCAGTCCAATACAGAAGAAGGTGAAAGATCAAAAGGAGTTTGAGGTAATCAGTCCCTCAGCCTGGAACCGTTTTCAGACTAAAGACACCCAAATGATGCCCAAGTGTCTCGTTTATCAACTTGTTCGTTTTGTAAACCATTTATTCGTATACTTTATACATGTTAACCAAAATACACAACCCGCAGTTAGGTCTGGGTGTGAGGGGGGTGAGTGCTGACGACGTTTCGGTCCTACTTGGACCATTGACAAGAATGACTTGTTAATGGTCCAAGTCGGACAGAAACGTCGTCACAAGTTTGTCTCCCAAATGTGTGTTATTTGCGTAGTGTTGCAGCCAGGGTACTGTGATTCACTTTTGTTCTTAGTTCAGAAGATGATCGTGTTTGTTGCGCGAGATGAACACATCTCTGTATTGATATCTGTTTTCTCTCCGTGAAGCAGGGTGCCTTGATGTTAGTGAAGCAGGGTGCCTTGATGTTAGTGAAGCAGGGTGCCTTGATGTTAGTGAAGCAGGGTGCCTTGATACTAGTGAAGCAGGGTGCCTTGATGTTAGTGAAGCAGGGTGCCTTGATGTTAGTGAAGCAGGGTGCCTTGATGTTAGTGAAGCAGGGTGCCTTGATGTTAGTGAAGCAGGGTGCCTTGATGTTAGTGAAGCAGGGTGCCTTGATGTTAGTGAAGCAGGGTGCCTTGATAGTGAAGCAGGGTGCCTTGATGTTAGTGAAGCAGGGTGCCTTGATGTTAGTGAAGCAGGGTGCCTTGATGTTAGTGAAGCAGGGTGCCTTGATGTTAGTGAAGCAGGGTGCCTTGATGTTAGTGAAGCAGGGTGCCTTGATAGTGAAGCAGGGTGCCTTGATAGTGAAGCAGGGTGCCTTGATAGTGAAGCAGGGTGCCTTGATAGTGAAGCAGGGTGCCTTGATGTTAGTGAAGCAGGGTGCCTTGATGTTAGTGAAGCAGGGTACCTTGATACTAGTGAAGCAGGGTGCCTTGATGTTAGTTAAGCAGGGTGCCTTGATGTTAGTGAAGCAGGGTGCCTTGATGTTAGTGAAACAGGGTGCCTTGATGTTAGTGAAGCAGGGTGCCTTGATGTTAGTGAAGCAGTGTGCCTTGATAGTGAAGCAGGGTGCCTTGATGTTAGTGAAGCAGGGTGCCTTGATGTTAGTGAAGCAGGGTGCCTTGATACCATGAAGCAGGTGCCTTGATGTTAGTGAAGCAGGGTGCCTTGATGTTAGTGAAGCAGGGTGCCTTGATGTTAGTGAAGCAGGGTGCCTTGATGTTAGTGAAGCAGGGTGCCTTGATACTAGTGAAGCAGGGTGCCTTGATGTTAGTGAAGGTCCCTTAAACCAGGGAAGTGGAGCTAAATTTCCACGGATCAAACCTAATTACTCCCCCCCCTCTATTTCCCTGGCGCTGTATAAACTCCCCTAAGAGTTTAGCGCTTTCCAAGGAAAAAAATATATAGGCACTAGAGGACACTTTCCCAAAATTGGTGTCAAGGATTTAGCCAGCCAGTTTGACAGTGTGAGTGGGCGACCTCACACAACTACTAATAGGCCTGGTAGGCTTTCCAGGGCCTTCACTTTTAATTTAGCTCAAAAAGGGAAGTTGATATGTAGCAGTTTTTTTTTAGCTGTAGTTTAGGCACACCTCTGGCAAGACAGCCCCTCAGGGAAGGTTCATTGATGTTGGTGAGGGGCTCTTGATTTAGGGAATTGGATCTGTGCTTCAGTTCCCCGAATTAAGCCTGAATGCCTTCCACATTCCTACTCAGGCGCTGTATAATCCTACGGGTTTAGCGTTTCCCCCTTGGTTATAATAATCTGGCAAGGCAGTGATGGAGTGAATGATGGTGGTGTTTCTTCTTTTACAGGTCATCCTTCCTTGGTGGGAAATGGCCGATGTGTTAATTAAAAAAAAATATTTTGCTGTTAGTACTGGTTATCAGTCACAGTAGTGACGTGGGAAACTCACTGGGATCTTTGTTTACGAAAATCAAGATTTCCGAGTGTTGCATGTATCTTATTTATCAACTTGTTTGGTAATGTCAGTATTATTATTGTTACTAATAGTAATAAAGTTAGTGAAGGATGATTTTGATTGTGGAGGTGGACAGTTGTGAGGTGCTAGTTTTAGGGATCAACATGTCTGCTATGAAGTTTACTGGGGAGGGGGGGGGGTAACTCTGCCTGTTGTGGACACTGCAGTATAACGGATACTTGAAGCGTACGGTACACGGTCACACCTCTCTACCACCCTGCGTAATACACACGCTTCTCTCCTAGACTGACAGAGGAAGTGATCCCTGAATCAACCTAACTCTAACTCCATCACTTGAAAAATCCGTAACTCGAGACGACACTACTACTACTACTACTACTACTACTACTACTACTACTAAACACACAGTCGGTATTTTCATTTTTAATCCAAACCAGCTAGATACGGAGAGTGAATAGGAAGAAATTAACAGGAGAGGAACGAGGGACAGTGAAACGTAGATAGAAACTGACAACTCAGATGATATTCATGGGTGGGAAGAATTTAGCTCAGTTTAAGGGTAGTGAACATGCTGGGAAACTCGCTGGTCGGGGGTATTGCCGAAAGAGTAGAGGATCCCTTAACGTAGACTGACTGCAGGAGGCTGGAACCATGATCCGAGTCTACTCCGGTAGCCACGAATCATCGAGAACAATTCTGTAAACACGACACAACAGCTAAAAGAAATCTGGCTGCTGTTTCAGTGGTAGTATCAACAGTGTACAGACAGGTGACGCTGTGATGACAACATAGCCTGTTAAAACTGTCTAGGTTTCCCCTGTTACATTCCATCATACAGGACGGGGGGTTTTCTGTTATATTCCATCACACAGGACGGGGGGGGGGGTTTCTCTGTTCCATCACACAGGAAGGGGGGGAAGCTTTCTCTGTCATATTCCATCACACAGAATAAGTTTCTCTTGTCACAGTCCATCACATGGGATGTATTTCACACATCCAGTGATGGAATGTGTCAGCCTGAGCTGGCAGACCGTGTTATTCAAAGTATACAACAGTACAACACCGACAGATTGACGAATAAGTCAACAAGTGCAACATTTGCGCATCTTACCGAGACGAAGCTATCGTTCAGCATTCCACCAATAGATGGGGTCGCTATCTACGGCAATTTTAAACTCTTAAGATTATATTAATAAAGCGAATTTCAAAGGCTTCCTTCCAGCAAATTTGGAGTTACTATGAAGAAATAAGGATTTTGAGGAGTTTTGGAGAGGTTAAAGGTGACATGGTGGGGGAGGGAGAAGCTGGTGTTGTTGGGGGAGGGAGAAGCTGGTGTTGTTGGGGGAGGGAGCGGGGCTGGCAGGGTGACAGGGGGAACCCGAGCAGTATAACAGTACACACCAAATTCAGACGAACGGAAATGGGGGAAAAAAACTCGAATGGGAGAAAAAAAGTTAGGTTACTGTATTTGGTCAGCGATGTAGAAGTGACTTTAGGGCGATGAGTGAGTGAAGTGAGGCGAGTGAAGTGAGGTGAGTGAGCTTGTGGAGGTGTTAAGTTAAGTGAGTGATGTAAGCTGGGTGAGTAAGCTTAGGCGAATGACGAAAGCTGAGTGTACTAAGATGGGTGAGTGAAGGAAGTTAGGTGAGGGAAGGAAGATAGGCTAATGTGACATGCTAATCAAGTAAGATAAGCTAGGTGAACAGGATAGGCTAGATGAATAAGATATGAATGAACAATAAAGTAAGCAGCATGAATAAGATACTCTAGGTGGGTGAGACAAGCTAGGTGGGTGAGATAATCTAGGTGGGTGAGACAAGCTAGGTGGGTAGAAAAAGCTAGGTGGTTTAGACAAGCTAGGTGGGTGAGACAAGCTAGGTGGGTGAGACAAGCTAGGTGGGTGAGACAAGCTAGGTGGGTGAGACAAGCTAGGTGGGTGAGACAAGCTAGGTGGGTGAGATAATCTAGGTTGGTGAGATAATCTAGGTGGGTGAGACAATCTAGGTGGGTGAGACAATCTAGGTGGGTGAGATAAGCTAGGTGGGTGAGATAAGCTAGGTGGGTGAGATAAGCTAGGTGGGTGAGATAAGCTAGGTGGGTGAGATAAGCTAGGTGGGTGAGGCTACTATCTGTTCATCTCACGCTCAAGTCACAGTCGTCAAGGTCGGCGTATATCATGTTCCCCTTTGAAGGTATGAACTAGTTTTTCGAAGGAGTTTGGGGGGGGGGAGAGAAGTTTGGGAGGGAGGGAGAGAAGTTTGGGAGGGAGGGATAGAAGTTTGGGAGGGAGGGATAGAAGTTTGGGAGGGAGGATAGAAGTTGGGAGGGAGGGATAGAAGTTTGGAAGGGAGGGAGAGAAGTTTGGGAGGGAGGAGAGAAGTTTGGGAGGGAGGGAGAGAAGTTTGGGAGGAGGGAGAGAAGTTTGGGAGGGAGGGAGAGAAGTTTGGAGGGAGGGAGAGAAGTTTGGGAGGGAGGGAGAGAAGTTTGGGAGGGAGGGAGAGAAAGTTTGGGAGGGAGGGAGAGAAGTTTGGAGGAGGGAGAGAAGTTTGGGAGGGAGGGAGAGAAGTTTGGGAGGGAGGGAGAGAAGTTTGGGAGGGAGGGAGAGAAGTTTGGAAGGGAGGGAGAGAAGTTTGGAAGGGAGGGAGAGAAGTTTGGAGGGAGGGAGAGAAGTTTGGGAGGGAGGGAAGAGTTTGGGGAGGGGAGGGAGAGAATTTTGGGGAGGGAGGGAGAGAAGTTTGGGAGGGAGGGAGAGAAGTTTGGGAGGGAGGAGAGAAGTTTGGGAGGGAGGGAAGAAGTTGGAAGGGAGGGAGAGAAG